GTATAGATTAGTACTTATTGGTTCGAGGCGGCTAGCCGTCCTGATATAATGCTAAAACTTCACTGAAAGTGAATTTTTTAGTTAATATATATATATACTGAAAAATCACTGAAAATCCAATCGAAATTTCTCTGAAATTTTTGCTAAAATTTATCTGAAAATTTTGCTGAAATTTTTTTGAAATTTTGTTGAAAATGAATTTTTCAGCTAAAAATCGCTGAAATTAAACTGAAATTTTGTTGAAAAGTGTTCCAAAACATGGAATAATTTCAGCAACATTTTTCCACTAGGATAATTTTATTGTATATATTGTAATAGTTTTATCTAGCCAAATTTTATGTACAATTATATATATATTTATTATTTCTTCAAAGTTATTATATGACAAATTATTGTTAGTATTAATATTGTTAATAGTTTAAAATATATACATATATATGTATATATATGTATATATAGATTAAATAGAATATAGAAATGGAACGCAACTATGATCACGTATCCGACATGATCACTATTTATAACTATCACTATTTATCACTATTTATTATCACTATTTTTACTATCGTACACGATCATACCATTTAAAGATGCCGTGAAAAAGCGATATCGCAATATTGATGATTGTTTCATTAAAGGTATCGTAATTAATTGGTTCCGGCGAGTAGCAGACAGAATTCCAAAAACTTCGCGATAAGAATGCGGAATAACTTCTACCTCAACATTTATTATTAATTCTACATTATATTCTTAATCATTATCTTTGTCTTCATACCCTTTTAATATCTTGTATAAGATTGTTATGCAGTATAAAATCATATAAAATTTAGTTTATAAAGCTGTACCATATAAAGTGTTTTATAGTTATAATATATAAAGTTATATTAATCTTGGTAAGTAAAGTATAATATAACTGTGTATTTAAAAAAGAAGAAATTTTTGTCTCATCATCATTTTGTCTATAGTCATATGTATTTTCTGTAACAACAAATTATATCAATCTGGTTTTACTTTCTGCATACATGAATGTTTTATAAATCTAATCTCCATTCTTCATGATGTTTCCTGTCCTTTGAACTAAAATGTTAATTTCGTTGAAACATTTTCGTTATCTTTGGCTTTAGACTTTCGTAATACGCATATAAAATAGCTATTTTTCAAATGTTCGTTATCTTAGGTGATACAATTAATAAAATTGAATTTTTTATGATTTTTAATAAAAAAACATTTCAAAATCAAAATGATTTTCAGAGATGCCGGAGGGTTTGTGATTTATCGCCGAAAGGTTTGTGAGTTATCGCCGTGTTGTAATTCATTGCTATATTGCCAACATTTCGCGAACCTTACCATTCACTCTATTAGAATGGGGATCCTCGTCCTGATGAAGTAAACGATAAGGTTCACGAAATGTTGGCAATATAGCAATGAATTACAACATGGCGATAACTCACAAACCTTTCGGCATCTCTGAAAATCATTTTGATTTTGACCGAGGTAACGACATTCACTGGATGTCTTTGGGCTGTGTATTGTACGTACAAACGTCTGTTGGACGTTTTTAGGCGGTACATTGTACGTACAAAAAACATCTACCAGACATCTAATGGATCTCTTCGGGACGTATCTAGTACGTCCTTGTATGATGAACAGAATGTCCAAAAAACATCGAATTTGTTGCATGGGAAGCGTTCCATACTAACTGCAATTGATGCGGAACGCTTGTGATTGGTTCCTCTCTCGTTACGCTATTCCGCTGAATGAGTATATGATATGCATATACTATTCATATAGCATCCATATAGCATATCTATTAGGAATTTTTTATACAATTTATTAATTTAAAGTTCAAAATTAACAATAAGGAGCTACGAGCCAAGTAATTTACAAATCAAATATCTACATAAATTATTAAGAAACGTTTCGATCTAGCATGAAGTCATTATCAATATTGATAACACATTTAAATTTGTGAAACCGTAAACGCATAATATAAAATCGATAATTACGTACTGGCACAGATTTATGTGTGTTCTGAAACTTGGAGATATCAAATTGACAATTCTAACTTCAAACTACTAGACACATGTTAACTCATTGAAAACGATGATGGTTAATAAGAAAGTCAATTTTACTGCTTTACATTCAACGACAGGTCGTTCTTTATTCCACACAAATAGATTACAGACAAGTTTCAGAACACATATGAATCTATGACAATGTGGTAATTTAATAAAACTATTTTATTGTACATAGTTACCATGTTCTACTAGAGTTTTTATTTTTTATGTTTCATATAGGTTTTATATTATGCATTTACGGTTTCACATATAAATTCAAATATGTTGTCAACATTGATAATAACCTCGTGCTAGGTCGAAACATTTGTTAATTAATAATTTATGTTTATATATTTGTAAATTACTTGGCTCGTAGCTATTTATTGTCATTTTTAATTTTAATCTTTGATCCGCTTCTCACTATACTAATTTAAACTTAAAAGAAGTATTAAAATATAAAGTTGTTATCTCGATCCTCAAGCTAATAAATAATTGTAACTAAAGGTTTTAACGTTGTAATTGTATTTTATATTTTATTTTCATTGACGAAAGCCGTAATAAAGGTCAAAACGTTCGACTTTATTTATGAAGATATTTACATTGACAGTTATAAAGTGATACACATCAAGAAGGCAGATGTTTTTAGTTTTCATTTAATTGTAATTAATCTTTAACCTGGTAAGAGAAACTCACAAAACATTTTTTGCGATATTTTTTGTGTTTTCATGTTTCATTTTGTACGACGTTGAATTTTTTAATGAAATTTGTCAAGTATAAGTTTTATTATTGTTAACTTTTAGTAAGCTGGTTAAATGCCGAAAATCAACTCTTCTAATTTTGAATAAATCATTTTTTCTTTAATTTTTGCGTTTTTCGAAATTGAAATTTGCGTGCTATTTCACAATTTGTCCGAAAAATAATAGAGGCCTTCAAGACCTGAATTGCTCGAATACGTAATAAGTTCCGGTTAAAGATTAAGTCAAATCGTATCTTTTATTGTGATGATCGCTTAATTTATTATGATTATCATGATTGTTATAATTGATATAATTTTAAAATTGCTTGCAAGGCTATTGCAAGTGTGGTTTAAATGAAAGATTATATATTATAATATATTATATCCATTACCTACTTATTATATTCATTACCTGACTACAAAGAATAATTCATATTTGTTTAATATTAATTTTTGTTCTTTATATAAAGTTTTGTATTTTTTCTGTATTCTATTAGTGCAATGTTTCTCAGTATTTTAATTAAAAGTGTGACTATGTATATATTGTGATAACATCAAAACAAAAGAGTGATTCAATTATATTTATTACATATTGTTGAATATAGAAAAAAGTAAACTATTCTTTTTTCTGTAACTTTTTTCTATTGTATAATATATTTGATATTATCACAATACTTTTATTTAAAATATCGAGAAGCATTGCATTAATAGAATACAGGAAAAATACAAAGCTTTATACATAAAAGGATAATTAATATTATTCAAATACGGATTTAAAAATTTATATTTCGTAGTTAGGTAATGAATATAATATAATATGTAGTAATATTATACAATGTAGAAAATAATGTTATGTAATGAATTGGAAGCAATGTTATACTAATAAAAATTATATTATGCATTATTTTTGTTAACTATATTTCAGGAATCATATTTACATTTATTATATTATATTAATAAGATTACAAATTCTAAATAAAATCATTTATATAACATATTATATATAAAAATGCTATTTTCTACATAATATTTGCATAATAATATTCTACATAATATTAGCATAATGTTTTAGTTACTAGCCTTTGAATATAATAAATTTAAATACCATTTTTGAAGAATACACTTTAAATTTATTCCAATATATAAGTTTTGTAATGTGTAAATAAATTATAAGGCTCTTAATAAATTTATTTAAGTACTTCAGATTGAAAGGATTATGGTCACTAATATTTCGAAAAAGTTTCAGTTATTTCCGTAACTTTTTGGTAATATTTCAAGAAGATTGCAAATTCTTTCTGTAATATTTTAACAGCCTTTTAACGAGGTTTCTTGTGCAAGAATCGCGGACATTTTGTTATACTAGAGCTATCTCAGAAATGTTGCAAACATGTTTCGCAACTTTTATGAAACGTTTCACTTTTCAGTTAAAATATTTCTGAGATATTTCTGAAAACTTTTGGTGCTATATGACCGAAAATTTTTTTTAATTGTCTACTGATTTGTCCTATGTAGGACGTATCGTAAACATTCCCGTACAGCACAGAATTTGCAGCAATATTGCTGCAAAATCTCTGCAATGTTGCTGCAATATTGTAGTAGTGTTACTGCAATGTGCTGTAGAGGTTGTACGATATTTTGTAAATGATATTCTTTTGAGAAATTACAAAAAAAGAATCTATATTTATCTTAATAATTCTACACAACTAATTTAGACTGAAAGATAAGAGTTTAGAAATTGAATTTTTGTAATAATATTTCTAACTCTTTCAGAAATTGAATTTATGTATGGTATTACTGTATACCATAGAATTTTTTTAAATATCTGTAACATTATTAACTCTTTGACTATAAGTTAATCAAACTCTTAATTCTCTCACGTATAATGAAAAATGAACCGTACACAGGTAGTCATTCTCTAAAAAATTATTTTTAGATTCTATGTGTATTTAATTAAATTTTTAGATATTTTAGCAAAACCAATTTCACTGAATATAAAGTTTAATTAAGTGTAAAATATTCAGCATCTATTCTCAAATACTGAATAAATCGAAATGTTAATAGTCGTGAATAATACGAGATTCTACAATATAAATTAACAATACATTTCTATCGTCCCATTTGTAAATGCGGAGACGAAAATAACAATTTTAATATAGCTTTACGAATAATATTCAAAAACAAATTCAATTCGAATTTGCTTGTTATAGAAGCAACAAGACATTCGACGCAATCATTATAGAACAATTATGGTACCAATGTTATTACGCCCTTGTAAAGCACTACAACTTTCCCGTGCTGATTGGATTTTTGAGCGTAGGCAACTTGCCCTATGTAATGGATTCCATAGGTAGGCATTATGCATATCGAACAACTTTCGTGATTTCGTCGGCCTAACAATTTTATTGTTTACGAAAGTCATCCCAGCGCAGGTAACAACTGGGAGTGCAAACCTGGTCGGACAGTCGTTCCGCAATGTCTCTACTGGGTTTGCACCTACCCAGGTTGGCATCGTCAACGAACGTCGTTAACTGTGCGCGGAAATTGACGTAAATTGTCGTTAAAGCAGAAAGTGCGAGCAATCGGAGACCGGGTCTTCGTGGAAAAGGATAGATTACTAGGTAGTGCTTTAACTTGTACCGGTCTGACCCGAAGAATGCCAGAGAAAAGGTGGCGAAGGATGACGCGCCGGCTCGCCGCCATTCGATTCCTTTACTTCGTAATTGAAGATACCCGAAAGTACTCTTCCGGATGAACGTAATAGACCGTGAAATGGATCGCCGTGGTTGCTACTGAAATATTTCAATTAAAGCCAGGCGAGTTTTGTGGAGGCGAACCGCGTTTCGAAATAGTAACTTTTCACATTGATCTGACACAATCACTATATTGAATTTACAAAGAAATAGATACCTGACTGTAATACATATTGTAATACATATTGTATTTCTTTCTTTTGACTTGCGAAAAAATTTACAATGTAATAACGCGTTTCTCTACTCATCCGAACAGAAGCAAAAAAAAAGAAGTAGTTCTAAATCTTTAAAGAGCGCATCGCATATTATTCCTGCTTGTAACATATCACTCCCTTGTTTCAAAAGTGATTTAAAAAAATTAAGTTTTTTAAGAAAAGGAAAAAAACTATTTTTTAATTGGACAGAAAATTATTGTTTAATTAAATGTAATATCGGCGAAAAAATTCTTAATATGATCAAAAAATTCTTAATATGATCAAATAATTTTTATATCATTTTCGTTTTACAAATTAATAATCTTGCTTGCCCTTAATTTTGCTTGTTTACTCATTAAGATCATATCATTCGGATCAATAAGTTAAAAAGCTCTAAAAATAAAAAAGATCACAAAGGATCTTACATTAACAAATGAAGTGTACATATACCATTGAAAATGTTTTTAAATATTACCAAAAAAAAAATAAATAAATTATCAGAGGTGCCAAAGGATTTGCGAATTATCGCCATGTCGTGGTCTATTGCTAATGCTAACATTTCGTGAACTTTTGCCGTTCATTTTATCAGGACGAGGAGTACATTGATATTTTCTTATCCTGACGAAGTAAAGAAGATTCATGAAACGTTGGTATTAGCAATGGATCACGATGCAGCGATGACCCGCAAATCCTTTGCGCCTCTAAAGAAAACACCTGTGAAAGTCTCAAAGGTATTAAAACAAACTACATATTATCATTCTATAATATCACAATATTGGGCCTAACAATTCAAACAGGCTAACAAGATTAAATCTTTTCGATTTGTAACGATTTCTTTTGAATGAAGTTTATTATTTTACTTTTGATGATTAATAAGATAATATTTAATTCATTTATGATATCTAATAACTTGAAAATTGCTTTTTTTTAGTTATGTTATTTTTTAAAATAGAAACGATATAACTTATAATTATAAGTAACTTCGAAAAATTCGAGGCTATATATTTCAAACTTTTACATTACACAATTGAATGTACCGCTATATCTTATAAGGAGCTAGTTTTTGAAACATTTGTTTTAAAAGATATTATTATATGACTTATGGTTGGCAGGAAATCCAGACGATCCTAACTTTAACCCAGACATGACGTATCCATTTACGAATAGAATGACAATCAATGAGCGGATAATGAATATCCTTTATACAACATATACAAGATTATATTATCGATATTGGCATCTACCAAATGCTCAACGCATGGCTAACAAACGGACTCCTGGCACATCTGTTTACGACATCGATAAAAATTTCAGTCTAGTGATTCTGGGCAACAATCACGTGTTTGGTTATCCGAAGCCATTATTGCCACATGTGATCGAAGTTCATAGTTTGCATATTTTGGAAAACCCTGGTTCCTTGCCTAAAGTGAGTAATTATAATTATATTAATTATAGTAATTATAATTATATTAAAAAAAAATTAATGTAACATATTGCGTAAGATAGTTTTAATATTCAGTCAACATCAGAAAATAGATTTTGTAATTATTTAGTACAAAAGTAATATAAATTTGAAATAAGAATGTTATTAATTGTATAATTGTAGGCATGAAATATATTGACAGTTATCTTTCATGACAGCTATCTTCGTTATTTTCATTAATATTTCAATTTCCTTTTTCTTTTTAATCGTATGTTAATTTATAGGAAAAAAATTTTGCAATTATTTAGTATTGAAAAAGTAATAAATATTAAAAGTAATAATAATTTGAAATAAGGAAATTATAAAATGCACAATTGTAAAAATAAAATATGAGAAGCAGACTTTCAAAATACGTTTTGTCCAAAATTTATAATTTTCAGAAAACAAGAAAGAAAAAAATTACGCACACGAGAAAACTACGCACTTTATAGAAAATAATAATATGTCAATCAGTAGTATGTGAAATATTAAACAAAATTTAAATAATTGCTAAAAATGTTAAATGTATTTTGTTTATCTCTAGTTAAAAAATGTAATTCACTTCGAAATATCTACGTTCTTTCAGCATATAAATTAACAATGAAAGAATACTTTCTGAACATCTCAGAGTAGCTTATAATATGAATCTTTCAACTACACACACTAAACATTTCGACATCTGTAACTAAAAAAATGAAATTTTGGACAAAATACATTTTGAAAGACTGCTTCTCATATATTGATAGTTATCTTCTAAGTTTCGACTTGCTTCAGATTTGTTTTAATCAGTAGCATAGCAAGGGGAGGGGGCGAGAGGAACGGTCTGTCCTAGGCACCATCTTGGCAAAGGTGTCAATCAGTAACTGAGGGTGATCAACACTATCAGCAGAAGCATTTCTTGCATAATTCTTGTATAATTCAATGGGATTTCACAGAAATAATACAAAAAATTTGACAGTAGTCTTATGAATTTTTTATGATCATGAGTGTTGCTACTTGCGAACAAAGTTTTTTAGTGTTAAAGCTTATTGAAACCTACTTTTATTTAACAATGAGTCAGATGCAATTACCGTCATCAATTATTGCAACATATGTCAAAATTTTGCGCAAACTTCATGTAAGCGTATCTCTGTAAAAAATGGACGTATTTAAAAGTTTTTTTTTTTTCATTTTCAACGATAAAGTTTGTACGAAGCTTTCAATGGATTTTAAATCTATCTTTACTTCTACCTGGCATCTTTTAAAAAATAACGCTTTTTTTTAAGAAATTTGCATAGTTTGACGCATTCCACGGAGTGGAGTAAATTTTTCCGTACTTCATAATAACCATGAAGTATTGATTTCTCTCTTACAAATTAAAAAAAAATTAAGCTTTGTACAATTTTTTTTTCAAGAAGATACAGTGTATCAAAATTATTTATGTACGAGGGCAAATCAATAAGTATCCGTGTTAGTAATGAAGACGCAAGCTTTTCACAAAAATTTTTTTTATTTTTCAACATCAATCCCTTTTAGGAGGATACACTTTTCCCAACACTTCTGCCATTTTTTTAACCCCTCAGAAAAATACGATTTGTCGAACTCTACAAAATAGGCCTCGGTTTCGGCGATGACCTCCTCATTTGACGTGAATTTCTTTCCACCGAGCCATTTTTTCAAGTTTGGAAACAAGAAGAAGTTACAAGGGGTTACATTACTAAATCCGGAGAGTACGGTGGCAGCAATTCGTAGCGCCATTCCAATTTGGCTGTGGCGACTGCGGAGGAGTGAACCGGTGCATCGTGAGCAATCGCGGCACCCATCGGGCCAACAGCTTTTTCATTCCCAAATTATCATGCAAAATATTGAATACCATTCCGTATGACACGCCTCTGCTACTTCATGCACTTTCGTTCGGCGATTAGCGAGAATCATGTCATAGACTTTTTCAACGATTTCCTCAGTAATCATGTCTGCCGGACGCTCCTCATCAAAAATAGACGAACGACCACGTTTGAATTTGTTGAACCAATCTGACAGTTGTCATAGCTGGTGAAGAGTTCCCAGAGACGGCATGCAACTTTATTTCATTTTTATTTCTTCGCACGTTTTTCCATCCAAAAATAAGAAACGAATCACGGATCGATATTGCTCTTTTTCGATTGTATCGGAAAACATCAAACACGCTCACTACGAATTTCTGTCAAATTAAGACTATTGCATGAATCACTCTGAAATTTTGTATGGCGTCGTTTGAAAGATAATAGTACACGATGGTAATGCCAACTTGCAACGTTGCCTGCTTTGAAACACGGGTACTTATTGATTTACCCTCGTATTTTATTCAACCAGCATTAGCATTGCCCGATGCGCACCACGAGGAGGTTGCTGGACAGATCGTGCGTGCGTGCGTGCATGCGTGTGGATATTTGTTCTTTAAAACTTGTTTTCCGCCTCGTCCCTTTCCCTTTGGATGATTTCCTTATAAACATGCATATTGATGCAAAATCTAATTGAGAAGAAGAAGAACTGCCAACAAATCTGCAGCAACTGGAAGTAGCATTACATCAATATATTAGGTATAGTAAAAAGAAATCCATTATTTTTCCAATAGATGGCTTTAGTAATCTGTATCTCATCTACGCGTGATACAGATTACTAAAGCCATCTATTGGAAAAATAATGGATTTCTTTTTACTACACCTAATATGATAGGAAGTTTCTTAGACTTCAATTAAAGCTTGTATTAATATGCTTGCACATTTACAAGAAGTCCAAAGTCAAAGCGGATATACACAATTTTAAAGATCAAACATATCCCCACATGCTTCTACATCCCCCCCCACACACACATACACACACACACATACACGCACGCACGCTCGCACACACAAAAAAACACTGACACATATGATGCGCAAAATTCGATCAGCAACCTCCCCGTGATCCGCATTGGGTAATGCTAATGCTGATAGTAATTAAGCAAAATGCTTAGGTAAGTTTGATACATTGTATTTTTTAAAAAAATCGTACTTATTTTTTTTAATTTTAAGAAAAAATTCCATATATTACGACGGTTATCATGAAATTTGCGAAAAAATTTACTCCATCCTGTAGAGTGCGTCAAATTACGAAAATTTCTTAAGACAAAACATGTCTTTATTTTCAAAATTCAAAATTCGTTGAAAGCTTCGTAAAGTATAGACTGTACATTAAAATGAAAAACTTTTAAATGCGACCATTTTTCACAGAGTTACACTTACTTGAAGTTACGCAAAACTTTGATATAAATTTATAATGCGATAATTTCGTTGGCGATTGTAAATGAACTTGCGTTGCCTTTCATTGAACAAGATATAACAAAAGATATAGAATTCACAGATCCTCAACGAATCAAATTTTCAGCAATATTGCTGCAATTTTTGTACTGTTGGGGATGTTATCAAAGAATTTCCAAGCACCTACGTCCGAAAGATTCAAATTAAAACTTTTTTCAGTTAATAGTATGTTTTTAATTTGTTCTAGTTTATTTCAAATTTAGACTTTGTTGTTTAATTTTTATACTAAAATATATGTGAGAGAGAAGAAAAGAAAGCAAAATAAAAATATTATATGTAGAAGAGAGTGGGTTATATCGAACCGTGTTACAAATAGGATCTTTCAAATTTAAATGAATATGATTAAGAAGATTTGTGCAAATCCTTATAAGATAACGAACATGTGATAGCAGTTTGACAGTTCTTTGTCATAGAATAGACGCAAATGTATTTTCATCCATTCTGCGAAAATGTCTTTAAAAAAGAAAATCCTTGTAAAATTATTTAAAAGGTGTTAAAAATTTGAAAGGTAACTGATTTAAGATAATTAAAAAATAGAATTCAAAAATATCAAGTGTTTTATGATCATTTTTTATTGTAAAATTTGTTCCAAAATTCGAAAGGACCCGTCTCTAAATCGGACCTCTTTTTGGGTATTCAAATCGGACCTACACAATAGATAACTTGTAGGCCTGGGTGTAGTAGTGATGATCTGCCGATCAGATCTGGTCTAAGGAACTAAATTAATGAAATATCGTCAGAATCAGATTAATTGAATTATATTGATTTCAATTCTAATAGTATAAACTCGGTAATTGTTTTTTTATCTTTTCATCAAGTTGCTCTTGTTTACTCAATACTAAGGAAAATACATTAAAATATTTAAAATTATATTCAAAAGTGCTTAAAAATAAGAGATCGTCCGATTTGGAACAAATTCCAAATCGGACCGGAAAAAACGGTTTTACATTTTTCATTATAGTTCAATACAGGTAAGATATGTCAAAATGATCTGAAGCAAAAATAAAGGGAATTAAATGATCTTTCCAACGACACCTTCGGTTTTATGATTGGACTTTATTTATGTCTTATAGAGAGCAAAAATTGCAAAACAGATCCGATTTACTCTACTTTCCCCTTTATATAATATAATTTAATAGTAGGAAGATAGAAAGCCTGAGCCAGCATAGGTTGTTAGTGTGTAAGAATACCATATATTTAGAAATGAAATAAAAATTACAGACGTTTCGACCGTTATTATTGGGTCATCTTCAATGTAAATTTGAAAAATTTAACTGTGAAAATTAAAACATGTAATGATCACTTACTATTTCGTCAATAGATAAAATATAAAAGTTGTCTATCGTATTTAATTGAATGCTTAAACATTTACATTATCTGCAATATACAATAACATAAAATATAATAAAAAACTTAAAATATTAATACAAGAAATTGTTATTAAAGAATTGGATAAACTTACATATTGACAATGATCAGATAATTTAAAACGTGCGTAATAATAAGACATTTCAAGAGTGTGTGAGAGATCAAAACGAAATTGCCGTTACAAAGTGGGGAAAAATAATAAAATAAATAAAAGAAACAGAAAGTCAAGCAAGTTATAATAACAAAGTGTATTAACTGTAAAACTTGGAAAAATTAATC